TCCAACCCCTACGATTCTGTGATTCTGTGATTCTGTGACATATGCCCAGCTGTGGCCATTACACCAGATCCTCCCACTGCTATGTCTCCTCTGCTTGGCATGTTGCCACTGTTAGAACTTATTGGTCCTAAAGTCTTCAAAAAGAGAAGCCCTGCTTCCTCTCTTTCTTTTTCTTTGTTTCTCTGTATATTTCACTTTAATTGTTAGAGACATATTTACTCCCAGTTTTTGCAGACTGCTTCTCAATGCTTGTGTTCAATGTAAAATGTAACTTCGGCAACAGAGTTCTCCCTTTCTAAAGAAATTGTGCAATTTGATTTTAGGAAGACTCAAGATGTTTTTTTCCTCCCTAAGATAAAGGATGTTAGTGACTTAATAGGTATTTTCTGACTTTGATAGGTGACACAGCTGATGACCAAAATAGAGAGACAAAGGACAAAACTTCATTTCCCGAGACCAGACCAATGTACAACCAGCCTCCACAGGTAGGAGACTGCTACTTTACTCATGCATGAAGAAACTTTGATAGCAACTCATGTGAGAAGTATGAACACGCTGCAGAAGGTTTCAGCATATTCATATATGTTGATTAAGAGCTTACTCGGCATTTCTTGCCATCCATCGTAAAAGAAGCATTATTAAAATTTAGATGGTAATACTATAATGACCACAAATATTGAATAGAAAAAGATGCAGATATAAGGCTGGACTGTGTGGTTATTGCTGTGTATCTTGTTTTTATACTTGAGATTTGCAACAATGGAACTGTGGCTAGGGTATTAATGAATTGTGTACGAGTATTAGTGCAGTGAGCAGTGATGGAAAATGTCACACGTTTACATAAGTTATTTCCACAGCTACCATTGTAACTTACATGTTGTAAATGTGTGAGTACATTGGACTTTCTTCACTGTGTTTGCTTTCTGTTTCAGTGCTGTGTGACTGTAAATATGAACATCCTTCTGTTTAGCTTGTTTATTTAATATTTAATTGATGTATACCTTTCCAAAAGATTTCAGCATATAGCATACACACATTTTTTTCTGCTTTAAAATGCTTTTGCAACAAGCATGAGCCTGTTTTCCATTGCTACATAATCTTAGATATTTGCAAGATAACATTTCAATTTATTTTTTTTATTGTTTTTGTGGCACTTTTTTTTTCCCCCTTAATCCATTATTTCCCTGTCTCTTTCTCATATCAAAACCAACCATGTCTCTCTCTCATCCCAGCACCATTGTAGCATTTATTACTGCTAAGCCCTTGTAAGCCTTTGGAGCATCAGAGGTGTGTGTGTGTCACTATTGCTAATCTAAGAGCAGGCAATGCCTGTGGGGGTGCACTCTAGATTCTCATTTTTAATTTTTAATTAAAAACTGTGCCTTATATGGAAATTTTTCATTCACCATCAGTAGTGAAAGCTTTGCCTTTTGATAACGTAGGATTATAAATCAGCTAGAGTTAATAGCAAAACTTTAGTCTGAATTGTGAATCCAGGCACATCAGAGCAAGGTGTTTTGCCATTTTGAGGCAGTAAAATGCCATGGCATTGTGGTTACTGATTGCACACGCATAGTTTCCCTTAACGTGGTGTTCTCACTAGGTGTTGTGAGCTGCCAGTGACTGTAGTTCTGTGGAGCTTCAGAATAGGAACTGCATGCTTACAAGTTAGAGGAAAGAAGCAGTTTTCAAAATAAAATAGCAAGTATTACCGTGAAAATAAAATAAATATTTATTTTTTATATTGAAAGGCTTACATGTCACCAAAATGCTTGTATGAATCAACGTCAGTTAAATTGGGAGATAGCATTTTAATTCCAGTCTCTGGATTTCATGTGTTTGAACTTCATGTTTGCTTGGAGGAGTTCTCAATTTCTCAAATTAAATAGAGATCATGGAAATGAAATTGATAGTTTTGGCTGTTAGGAAAGCAATATTTCTACTTACAGCAGTGAGTGTATTTTTATAAATTTGTGGGAGAAATCTACCAATTTAAGAAAACTGGAAAAGCATTGTTTTATATACTCAGTATGTCCTAGAGGCATAGGACATTAATTGAAATAAAAAACTTGTTATCATTAAAGCAAGAATACTTCAGAAACATTGTACAGTACGTTAAAATAGATTTATTAAGTTGCAAAGTAATACCAGATATTTCCCATGCATAGCTGAACAGAAAAGTTGCTGGAAACTTGCTTCTGTTTTAACACATTATACATTTGACAACTTAATTGGTGTTGACTTTGTGGAACATGAATAAGTTCTTTTAGAAATATGGTTTAAAGAATAAAGTCATACTTTGTTTATGGGTCACTTCCTTATCTGAAAGGGAAATGAGGTTGCATTTGATTTTTGAAGAACATGTTTTCTGGAGTATGTTTTTGTAACCATTGTAGTCTTTGGAATTTCCCATTTAGGTACTTCTGGACTCATTTTCTGCACAGCTATTGAATTCTCAAGTACATATGTTTGTGCAGTATTGCTTTATTTATATAAAACTAATGCACAAATTAAATCTTGAGACAAGATTGTTTTGCTGCAACTTGCAACATTTAACAGAAGCTCCTATAGCAGTGGCAGTCCCTGCAATCTGCATTGTTTTGTGAGGTTTCCATGTTGCGTGTGGTGCTGTTAGAGGATATCTACAGCCTCGTTGGTGTTTTCACTGACCAGCTTCACTCTGCTACACAGTGGGGACAGAACTTCCTGCTCTGAAGAGTCCCACGTGGAGCATCTTCTCCATCACCAGCTTGCAAGGATTCTGATGCCCACTTAATCCTAGGGAACTTGGAGGTCAGGCAGGGTAATGAGCGCTCTGGGCACAATCAAGCACACAGCACCCCACAGACATGCACCATCCCCTTTAGCATGTGCCATCCCACAGGCATGTGCCATCCCACAGAAGCTGCTTCAGGCTTGTGGACTACAAGTTGCATACATGTTTAAGTGCTTTTCTGGATGTGGGCCAAAGTGCTCAGTGCTCTGCAGGACTGGGAACTTAGATGTGTCTCTTTGTGACTGTGAAATGCAAAGCATCTAGTTGTAACTGCAACACCATCACTATAGAAAGATATATTATGGATTTGTTTTTTCATGCTTGTGGGTTTTCCATTCCAGATAATTCAATCTTTATCTGCTTTCATTGGGAATTCAGGTTACAGAAAGTAACCAAATGGAAGTGTTTAGTTTTGTATATGTAGAGTGCTATAAGCACCGATAATGTGGTGGGGTTATTTTTCGTAATGAGCTGTTCCATTGGTAAAGCAAATTAGTGCAACTGTGTATTTTTGTCCTACTGTGAGAGCAATTATATAGCACGTCTATTAGGAGACATGAAAAATATTTTTGACAGATGGTATGGCTGTGAATTAGGATTTATGAAGATTATTGTATGTCTGGTGTGCAGGGCACCTGGGATTATTATATTGATGCAAGAAAGAAAAAAATCTGACAATAGCTGCAGTGTTTTGCATCTCCCTACTGTCACCTTAAGAAGCAGTTCATGTTTATTTGATATGGCGCTTCTGGATAATCTGACATACGCTCTTTAGCCAACAGATGTCAGCAGATTTAATGGGTGGAAACCATACCAGTAAGTGTGTTAAAATAAACCACCAAAAATGAGAGCTACGTTTAGATTGTGAATTAAGATTTTTTCTCCTACTGTGTGTTGGTTTTTGTTTTATTTTATAGTCCTGTTTCTCCCTCAAATACTCAATCGCTATTACCTTCTATCTAAGGAGCTTGTTACGTGCTTTCTAGGGCAAGAGAGAATCCTCCAAGGGATTGCTTAATCCATAAGTACCTAATTTATATTTTGTTATTATAGCCATTCTTAATTATATACCTTGCTGTGATACTTATCTTCATAGGATATAGCCTTTGTTATGAATTGCAGTCGTTCTCTTATAGCTCTTGTGACCTTTCTTGGCATAATTTAATACTACAAACTGAGAATGTAGCAGATAGAAGGGCCATGTTTCCTGAAGTAAATCTACAATTATCCATGGCTTTTTGCACGGAGACACTGCACAGTGCATTATTTTGGCTGAATTCCCAAATAAATTAGAAAAAAACCCAAACTTTTGTATCAGAATTTGCAGATAATATCTTCATTACATAGATCCTTTTTAAAGCTCTGCTATTTAAGGATTCCACATACATGTAAATAACAATTTCTTTGGCTGTATTTGTCAATTGGGAAGACAGAAACACTATTAAGATATAAAATGTCAAGGAAGAGATAGTGGAGGTTGAGTGCACAGTAAAAAAGTGAACAAAAAAGAATTTATCGTTACTTTTACTGTTTTGAAGAAATAGCAAGTCTTGCTGAATGTGTTAGACTTTTAAGATCTCCTTTAGAGCAGATCACCTGGCAATAATCTGATATAATTCCAGGATATGAATAACACTATGAATGACTTTCTTTTCCTTTTAAATATATTTGTATATTAATTATTTCTTCCAGACCTTTTATTGTCCAGTTTTTACTAAAGCCTGGCTGTCGTGAATATTTTTACAAGTTAGCAGAAAATGAGGTATTACTGATTGTGCCTTCATTTAGTCACCCAGCTCTTAGTTTTCAGTTCAGAGTTCCTGCATTTAGAGGCTCAGAATGAATGTTCTAGGTTAGTTTTACTGCATCCTTTTAAATTCCCCACATTTGCTTTCGAGAAAGTGGTTGATATATCAAAATCATTACAATTATTGGCCAGTGTTTGTGGTTAGTCTGCTCCACTTTGACAAATGCTAATATTTATAGAAAATTTTATTAAAAAAGGAAAAAAAAAAAGAGGAAAAAAAAGAAGAAAGCCTTCTTAAGCTGGGATTCTAGCTGTGTCCTGGTTAGATTAATTGCTTGTCATATGTCGTATTAACTACAAGTATTTCTTCTTCATCTATAAAGCCCTTAAAGCATGTTGGTTCATATTTTCTCTCTTCTTAATTGGGCATGTAAGCAGTAAATCACTTAATGAAATTATCTACTCTTAGGAGGGACTGGAATAAGACTGTCTTCATCGGGTCATCAGGCGCACACTTTTCTCTGAATGCTGGTGCCTTCAGAAGAAAGATCTGCTTTACTCGACTGTTGTGTATGATTTTAAGCTATAGGAAGTGAAGTTTTTGCATTACTTTTGAAGAGAGATTAATAGTTTTCAGTGTTGATGCTTTGCAATGGACATCATCTTTCGTAGCTTCTTCCTTTCTATGCATACATAGCTGGGGGACTTGCATTTACTGTGCAGACACAGATTGAGAATCCCTTCAAAGTAGAGCTACTGTATGATAAGGAAGTCACACTACGTGGTTGAGATCTTACTGGGAAAGAAGGTAAACAGCCCAGTCAGCTAAAAATCAGCTTTTACACTGTAATAGTATCTGTACTTCATAAAGCTTAATTACACTGTTTGTATTGCTACCTGTTTGATAATCAAAATATCTGAGGGGTCTTTTCATAATAGGAAGATCTCCAGAATGTGCTGAC